ATATCGGGATGTTTTATTCCATTCACTCCAAATATTTCAAATGTTCCCGAATCAGGTGCAATCAAAGTGGCCAAACACCGCAATAAAGTGGTCTTTCCAGAGGCATTAGGTCCCAATAAACCAAAAACTTCGCCTTGACGAGCAACAAAAGAAACTTGTTTCACTGAATCAACACGAGAGGGTTGTTTGCTATCCCGACTCTTTTCAATTTTAAATGATTTGCTTAGTTCATCAACTTTAACTGCCGGCTTATCCCGAGTAATTTCAAAAACTTGACAAGAAAGCTTTCGCAACGGTAATACTTTTCCTGTTTTCAAGAAAAGGTTCGGTAACTTGTAAGGTTTCCCACGTACTCCAAAATGATTATAAGAGGCTATTTTATGTAGCCTCTTATGCGAAAAGTGTGCAAGAATAAAACTAGTCATCATGAAACTCAATCGACATTACCAAACTTACTTTCCATCTTCATTGATGAAAAGGGCAGATAAGAAAGCTATCTTAGAACTTTTCCAAACTTATAAAGAACCTTTGGGTTAGTTGACACTCGCAAGTAGATTTGAAGGACTAATGAAATAAAAGGTAACTATATTGGTGCAGAAGGTCTACAAAGGCTCTTTGAAGATATACAAGTGGACCCTTCGGACGTAGTCACTTTGGTACTTGCTTGGAAATTGAAAGCTTCGAGCACTTGTGAGTTTTCCGAAAAAGAGTTCGTGGAAGGTTTGGCCAATTTGCAAGTTGACTCTTTGGAAAAGTTAAAAAGGAAACTGAGTAAGTATGTAATATATGATAGAAAAAGTTCCTAATGGGGTCTTTAGGCTCGTTGAGAAAGGAAATTGAAGATCCTTCCAAGTTTAGAGCTTTTTATCAATTTGTTTTTCAGTATTCTAAGGAGCCTTCTCAACGTTCGTTACCTGCAGAAACTGCTATGGCTTTGTGGGACGTTTTATTGCGAGGAAGATTTTCTCTTTTGGATTCCTGGTTAGAGTTTCTAAAGAATAATGTGAGTTATCTATCATCAAGTGACAATGATACTAAAGCTATGATTGATTAGACGCATAGCATTTCCAGAGATACTTGGAATCTCCTTTATGACTTTTCTCAATTAAGTGAAAAAGATTTGTCCGACTATGACGAAAATGGTCTGTACTTACAGTTTGTATCCAATGAGAGAAATATGACTGAACTACTTTAGGTGCTTGGCCTGTGTTGATTGATGACTTTGTAAAATGGCTCAAGCATGAACAACCCAACAAACATGAATCCTAAGATACCATTTGAAGTTTTTGGAGACGATTCTCTTTATTGTATGAATATTGGCGTTGAAGCGCAGTGTGTTGGTGGATCGATATTTTTGAAGAGTTCACACAGCTCAATGGAAGCTCATTGTATGTGATGAAATGATGGCTCTTATTATGAAAAGGACAAGTGCTAATGAGCATATTAGTCACACAATTAAAATCTTTTGCATACTTGTCTCTCTTTTTTTGGTAAATAGACGAGTGAAATCTTCCTTATCATGAAAACCAATTCAACTGTCTCTTGCCAAAGGGAATTGTTATAACGTGTTTTGTTGAAAAATTCTTTTGTTATTGAATATCTCCCAACAATTGAAAATCATTCGAGCATTTCTTTCATCCCGTTGAAGGACATAAAATAGATATTATTCAAAATATTCACGCCTAGTGCCAATGACGCATTATACTAATATCCATATACACCAACAGCTTGAGGGACATTTCATGGAACTGAATAGTGATTTTTAAAAACCCAATTGCCATATGAAGACTTGCAATGAAGAATGTTCAAGAATGCCATCTATTCTCAAACAAAATGATTCTTAACCAATCTCTTTTCTTACAATCCATTTATTTCTCTCGATTACAAAAAAACATGCCGATTCAAACCCACAGTGCACCATTTTCAACCCACCCATATGTATATCATTTGTTCTATCGCAACTCTTCTCGGTTCCATCAACTTTGGGGACGGCTGATATTCATATACAAGTCAAAATTTAAACTTGACTCTAGGATCTCTATCAATAGCGGCATAAATACTATATACTTGTTCGGAGCTGTTACAAGGTGCATCAATAGTAATACTTCGATACTTTCCCTTGTCTCTGGTAGAGACCTCCATGTAAGAAGGATCAATTTGTAAAACTTCTGCAACACAGTCCACTATATCTTCCACAAAGTTACCTTGTCGTATACCAATTATTTTGAACTGGAACTTGCACGGAAAGTCAACCAGCTCATCGATCAGTCTTCTTTGACCATCTGCGTTCCAGTTGTGATTAAACTCATTAGGAAATCCTCGAATGGCTTTCAATACTCTCCTTCTACTCTGTTCTTTACGAGTTATTGAGGTGTCAACAACTTGAAAAACTCCTCTTTGTCCACCATTAAAAGAGGAAGTGTAGGGAAGCAACCCACTTGTCCGGCTGGTGCAAAAACTCTTGAAAAAATCAACAGAAAGGGCACATAAACAACCATGAAAAAAACTGGTGCTTTTACACAACTGACTAGTAGCACAACGAAACACAGGATAACAAATACCAAAAGCCAAGTTTGTATAAAGGTACTCTTGCACACACCATTTCAGCACCGGATGAGCCATAATCGAAAGAAAAAAAATGCAATTGTAGCGCGCTTTGTGAAAACTCATGTCAAAAGGAAACCTTAAGAATAAAGCAACGCATATCGTTTTTGAAGAGGAAGAAGAAGAAGGAGGAGGAGGAGTAGAACAACTTTCAGGCAAAAAACTAACTTCTGTGGAAATTGCAGCCTTATGCCCTTCAAAGACCAAATTAGTAAGAGTGTGTGAAGATGACCAAGTGTAGTGACTCACACGCGAGTTAGATAGCAAAAGGGTTACATATTTCCCGAATTGACAACCTGAAGTTCTTTTCAAGTTTGAGAGGAGTAGATGTCTCGAATAACTTTTTGCAAGATTTGTCGTTTTTGAAAGACAACGTCGACGTAGTTTGGCTCAATTTAGTGAGTACAGAATTTTCACTTTTCTTTCATTTCGCACTTACTACTCAAAGTCACATAATCAGTTGACCCAGCTAAATAACTTGGAAAAATTGAAAAATTTGGAAGTACTCAATGTAAGTCACAATCAGTTGAGGAATTTGACTGGAATAGAACAGTGTCAAGAGTTGAGGGCTCTCGTAGCAAACGATAACAAAATTGCAGTTCTAGACAGCTTTATCAAGTTGGTCAATTTGAACAGTCTTATTTTGTCTCGAAATTGCTTGCAAGTAAGTAAAAATCATAGTAGGATTCGGAATGAGTAGATCAACGTTCAATAGGACGTTAGCCCTGTTCGATCCGTCGTTACATTGAAAAAGCTATCTTGCTCTCATAATCAACTCCGAAGAATCCCCGATTTATCCCGTCTGTTACAACTAACAGAACTTCGGTTGAATAATAATCTTATCGACTCGCTTTCGTCAACGCTTGCTTCCAATAGGAATTTGAAAGTTTTAGACCTTGGACACAATAGAATCCGAAATAGAGAGGATTTATCAGTTTTAAGACTACTACCTTGCCTAAAAGTCTTGAATCTGGTTGGAAATCCAGTAGCATTGGAAGAAGACTTTCAACAAAGCATCATCCAATTTTGTCCTCAGCTAGAACAACTTAATGGCAAAGCTCTGGTTGTCAATAAGAAGAAGAGAAAGCATGCTTTCATCAACCATTCCGAATTCCCTGGAAATTCTATCTCCAATGACAAGCAGTCATTGTGGGTTGACGAACAGCTTAGGTCAAAGAAGCCAACAAGCCAAGATGTATCATTATCAAAGTCGAATGAAGCAGAAAATATCAATATAGCGTTCAAAGCGGATAGTGGATGTGTGGCAGTGGAGGTTAAGAAACCTGTTTCTATTCAAGTGAATAACTCACAGCGCTCTCATGCGGAGCAACAAAAAGTACCACGCATCGAAGAAATCTTAACGTTTGGAAATGGTGACTATAATAAGTGGATTTGATATAAGAGAAGAATCGGTATTTTGTAACGTGAATTATCTTCATGAGAATGGTCTTCTTATTCGCGGGTCGATGTACTTATTATTTAAACTTGCATATTGAACTCATTCGATAATATTTTATTGGGAACAAATAAGATGGTTTGATTCCATACACAAACAATTTCACAGGATGGGCACATTTAAAAAGTTTAGTTTTGATGCTTCTCAGTTTCTTTTGCGTTGCTTTCTTGTGAAACACCGAATGGATTCAACTCACCAAAAACAGGGTCCCGACGCTTCTCTTCCACTCTACTCGAATAGCCTTGTGAAGTGTTCACATGAGAAGATGCAGCACTTTTGTCGACATGTGTGAAATCATATTCGGGTGGAGAATGTGCTATATTCACTGTTAGTCAACACTACTCTAATCATTTTGTAAACAATAATCTTACCCGTTCCTGGTATTCTGGCACTCATGTTGTTGTAGTTGGGATACATTTGTTGTTGTGGTTGCATGGAAGGTACTAGTCCTGGGTTCCAACCACCCATATTACTATTATATTGCATATACATGCCTGAAGGATAACCTCCCATTGGCATACCAGACCAGTTTCCAGGACCTCCATAAGTCATATAGGGAGTCATCATCATATTGGGAGTCATCATTCCATGTTGACTCGGAAACATGGGCATCATATTCATACCTCCAATAGTGGAATAATAACCTTGATTCTCTTTTAGTTCATATATTTGATATTTATGTATTCCTGTACTGACCTTGCATAGTTTGAAACGGTGCTTGTGAGTCCATCTCATTATTCCATTGTGGTTGTTGTGAGGCGGCATTAGGATCAGGAACCGAAGCACCCGTTGACTTTGTCCTGTTTGTTGTATGCATGGGTGGAACAAGATTACCTTGCCCTGGACTGGCAGTATGTTGAGAACTAACATTGATATCACTCAATAGTTCCAACAGGTCATCGTTCTTCTTCTTTGGCTTTTCAGTAGATGGCGGACGTTCTGAAACATTAGCTGCTTGAGGATCTTTCGACTCTACTAAACCAAAAAAGTCATCAATACTATTGTTTGCTTTAGAGGAGGCATGCGGATCTTCAACAGATGCAGAGTCACTTTGGACTTGTTCTTCTTCATCACTGTCGTCATCAAAACTAATCATAGTAGAACTACCTGACTCCTGAATGTCGTTGAGTACAGAGAACTCTATTCTGCAGTGATTAGACATTACCTGAAGGGATGCCTTGATTGCAGCGGCAAGAGCAGCTTCTTCATCATAGTTACCGCTTGCTACTTTTTGTAACTCTGCCGATTGAGGAATCGTATCTATATGGGACCTTCTTTCCGATGCAGTATCCGATGACTTGCCATCCTATTTCAATCATGCTATAATCCGATCGGTTGCAACCATAATCAGTTACATTACCTCTGACAGAGTTGATATATGCTCTTCCATTCCTTTCACATAGTCCAATGGGGCGTGCTCTAAAGAGATATTGCTTTCTGTAGCTCCAAGGCTATCATAAAACAGGCAATAATCAAAACGATTAAAACCACGAAGATAAAACAATCAACTCCAACATACCGGTTCCCAATTGCTAAGAAAGCATTGGCCTTTTCGACCAATTCAATATACGTTTGATAAACCTTCAAACTATCTTCACAACGATTCTTCGATAGAGTAAAGAAATTTTCTTGTATCACTTCCACTCCTTGGGTCAACTAATGAAACGATGGAAGATTATTAGGATAACTTATCCAAAGACTACGAAATACAAAACACATACTTGATTGACGAGCGGCAACATATCTTTCATCAATCTTTCCATGATGCCTATAGTCAGGTCGTTGTGTAATTCTTCTGCACGCAATCGAACATCAGTCAAAACCTCCAACTACAAAACTTAGTAACGGATTCGACTAGAAGAAATATTCTTCCAACCTGATTCTCCAAAGTGGGCATGACTTTGAGTATCTGCTTTAGTTCCAACGTGGTAATTTGGCCAGTTGGTAACCCTTCGCTTTCTTGTATAGCAGTCTGTTGATAACTACGGGGCTCTCGAACGGTATCATAAAAAGCACCCTTCACAAAAACAACGTTTCATATCGGTCAACACTATCTGACTATAGCTGACTTACCAGGGTGCGAACGGTAACGATGCGCTCTTGAATATAGCGAGCAAACAATCTCGTGTAGGAAGAAAAATCATAAGCGCTCGGATTGGAAGCATCCCGAAACTCTTGCAAGTTAAAGATAAACGGAGAATGAAGAAGTAAGTCGACTATTCCTCTGCTGCCCTCATCCAACAGGATGTGACATAACAACAAAGCCTTCAAGACGACCTTTATGCAGTAGCTTAAAAGGTGACGGGGAAATGACACAGCAAACGACTTACCGGCCATTCTCCAGCACGGAGACGCTGTTGAATATATTTCAACACTTTGTGAGGACCTAGTCCAAAGTTTTCAGTAACCCCAACTGTTGAGAGACAAAGGGAACATACCACACTTGGTGTTATGAGGCGAGGGTCTTAAAAAGGTGGCGTCGATTATTTCTTACAAACTAGATTGAAAACAAAGTTCTCGAGGTATTACTATGACTTACTTTGAACATCCTTCATTCGGGGCCTGGTTTCCTCATCTAGGGTTGCTTTAGTAACCGCTCTTTTCAACTCGTTCACTGTCATATGAGTTGTAAATATGCGAGTTGCATCAGTTGCCTTCCTCGTGTATTTGTCCATATCTACTGGAACCAAACCAACACTGAAAGTTTATTCTCACAATCCTTGCTTCCTTCCTTCCCTCTCAACACAAAAAATACAAGTCGTTGTCAATCGATCACTCGAAAAAGACATGCAAAGTGTGGAGGATGTGGAGACTTTGGCGCAACAGGTAGGTAACTGAATATTGTTTATTGAGGACACTTATATTGTTGACTAAAGGAAGTGGATGGATCAACGAAGGATGCTATGAGAGAAGAACAAACGGTATCCAACAAAACATTGTATGTATACCCTACTTCAGAAAGACTCAACGAGGAACACTTGAAAGAGATTTTTTCCCTGTTTGGTTCCGTCGACAAGTTGACATACGTAAAAGAAGAAGTATGTAATACAATATTTGCTTTTTCTGTTTCTCAAGTGTCTTTAGAAATATGGCAGCATAGTCTTTATGGAGGAGGAAGACGCTATCAAAGCTTCAACTATTATGGATGGTGGCATAATTGATGGGAAAAATATAAGTGTGACTTTCTATAGGGACTTTGAAAAATATTGGGAGAAAGTGAAAAGGAACAAAAGTAGACAAGCTCCACGAGCTCTCTTCTTTCGAGGAAGAAGAGGAAGCGTGTCTTCCAACAGGAGACTTTCTGATAGACCTAGAAAAGAAAGCAAGACGAGAACGATTTCTCGTCCATACAGTAAACCGGAATTCAGAGACTCAAGAAAGTCGCCTGTTCGTGGTCGTTTTGAAAGAGAAAAACGTTATGTCGAAAGCAGAAGACGTGACTCTTCTAGTCCTCGTGAAAGAAACAGGAAAAGCATATCGGAGGAAAGTAGTCGTGAAGACAAACTTTATCCCGTTCATCAGTCCAAAAGTCAAGTTAAGAGAAGGAAGACTTCCTCTGAAGAAAGTGGAATGAGTCACGAGAGTTCAAGTCATCGCTCGCGTTATTCTAGGAAACACTCTTCTAAAAGGAGATCTCATAAACGACGCCACTCATCATCAAGTAGCTCGCTTCAAAGATAACAAATCATGAAAAGTTATCATTCTTTCTTTATGAAGTAAGATGATTATATTACATTCTGTTTTCACCATTTGGAGGTGACAAAAAATGGTTACTTTCTTTCCAGTTTTTCTCTATAGACTCTCCATGTTTCAACACGAGAAACTTTTCTTTTGAAATGCTAGCTTTGTTGAGTGCATCTTCCAACAATTTCGGTGGTTCTAGATAATATTCATTTGTAAGTACAAAAGTTCCCCAATGAATGGCTATGGAAAGTTTGGAACGAATATCATTGTGAATCTTGACAGCTTCATAAGGGTCAACATGTTGTCCTTTCATAAACCATCTTGCAATACTTTAAAAGTCGCAAATATTGTTGTCAATCTTCTTACCTTGGACTATAAGCTCCAATAGGAATAGCTGCACAATCAAAGGGACCATAAAGCTCTCCAATACTACGAAAAACTGGACAATATGCAGTATCTCCACCAAAAAAGAATCGAAATTCTTTTCCTATTACAATGAATCCACCCCATAAAGTTTCGAATATATCAAATGCAGTTCTTTTACTCCAATGTTGTACGGGTGAAAGAACAATATGAAGTCGGTTGCCGATAGTCGCTCTTTGCCACCAACATAACTCTGTGAATGTTGCATTACCATAACAATCAATTCTTAAACGACGAATACGAGAAAGAATACCCTGCGGTACGAATACATGTACGTTGTCATTCTTAGGACAACTTAAAATCTTCTTCAAAGTTCTTTCATCGAAATGATCTGCAAAAATTGGCAGTCTAAAAAAAAGGACCGGAGGTTACTTACCATAGTGATCATGCGAAATCAATATAATGTGAATCTTGGGGAGTTCCTCTACAGTACAAGGAGGATCTCTATATCTTTTAGGCCCCAAATGCTTCAGAGGCGAACAGCGTTTACTGAAAATCGGGTCAGTCAGTATATTGAAACCCTCAAATTGTATTAACAGTGAAGAATGACCAAACCAAGTAAGTCGAAAATGATCTGCAGAAGGCTCAGTTTCTAGAAGCGAGCTATCCACCTTAACTATAGGCAAGGAAGTATTCAAAATACTCTCGGTGGGCACATTGCTTTTGTCTGGAGTGAAAAGTTTCCAACGTAATAAATCCCAAAAACCTTTCCAACGCCATGTTTCCCAAGGGTTGACATAACGACCATCGATGCGTAAAGACAGAGGTAACTTCTTAATGTCCCAGCTTTTCGCTTCTGGAGGTGGCTGTACAACAACTTCTTCAAAGTCTACACTAGTACTAGTATTTGCTCTTCTGTTGTTGGAAGGCTGTAAACACTCTCCGTCTGCAATAATACCGTTCACGAGAGGTTTCTCCTTACTCGTTTGGGTTGTACAGGAAGTACCAGTTGCCGCCCCTCGTTCTTTCTCTATAGAGTCTTCAGAAACACTTTCTGTACTCAAAAAATTTTCACTTCTTTCTGTTGCTTCTGGTTTCATTTGTTGCCAACCCAAAACAATCCAATTGGCACTTATTCCATTATATGACCTGTCAAAAGAAAATGAATCGAGAATCTATTCAATGGGTGCTATTTATTTTGTTTCTCATTATGGATACTTGTAAGGAAACTTTTCATTTCCGTCTTGTTGACTCAAGCTTCAACTACTTATTCATTCTATATTGCTCTTCTCTGGGGAGAATGAAAGGTAACCAAAATTGTAAAAATTTTGACGTTGAACTGTAGGTCAAATAAGGAAAGACAGTTGACTCAATCCTCGTGGAGTTGCTCTTCCATTTGTTTAATCTTGTCTCTCAGTGGACTACATATGTAATGGTAACTACAAAAAGAAACATCAAACAGAATGAAAAACCTAAAGTAAAAGTCTGACCTTCTATACAAGTCTCCTGCTCCTCCGGCAAGGAAACCAACTACTAAAGGATTGTAACTTTTCCAACGCAATCCAAGAGGAAGCGCAGCGAGTAATCCTACCACCGTGAATATCCAACTTCCGCTGAAAACACATTCGCTGTATGTTTGTCTCAACTCTTTCAGACGCTTCAAGGAAGGCTCGTCTTCGTTCATCAAAGGAAGCAATTTGTGAAAGAAAAAAAATGCGATCACAATATAAAATAATGGGCGCCTTGGATTTGCAGTGTCCTTTTCAACTTTGTCAAAGAATGAAGACTATCGACAAATCCTCGTGGCCACTTCGAGAGTTTGTTTTGTTTCAATGCGACTCGTGGTTGAAAAGTAAATATTCAACTGTGTTACAATTGACCAGATGCATAGAAGAATCAAGAAGCCAAAATAAAGCCGATTCCAAGAGAAAACTAAAATTAGTTGTAAAGGACTCGACAGGACAAGTCTTAGAAAGGCATTTACTTTCTATTTCCCCCAGAGAATATCCATCAAGTTCGCAGGAATGGACTTTTGTCATGAAAAGATTCGATACTCGTCTCATGTTCTGCAGAGAAAAAACAAAAACCAGATTTGCTATTGCCCTTTTTAAAGAAGAGGAAGCAATAGAAGCAGCAAACATTTTAAATGATTTTGTTTTCACAGATACTGGTCATTTAAGAGGTAAGAAGAAAGTACAGGATAGTCTTCCCAATAGCCAAAGAGATGTGGAAACTGTTTGTTCTACAGAGATTAAATGTACACAGCCGCCTGAAATAAGATGTCCAAACGAAGATGTTTCAAATGATTGTTCGATGATGATTAACAACAAACAGTTGGAGAGGAACACATCAATAGAGATGTCCTTGAAACCCATTCTTCGATCTACTTGTACAGATGTTGACACCATGGAAATGAGAAACCTAATTTGCTTGCATACAAAGAGGAGACTATCCAAGTTGCCCAATTATCTAAATTTATTTAAATAAAATCATAATTGCCTTTTTCTAACGAGTCCTTCGTGGTCTAGGGGTTAGGATAGTGGTCTCTCACACCACAGGCCCGGGTTCGAGTCCCGGCGAAGGAATTTTTTTGGGATTTGCTTGAAAATTTGCATTATTGAAAATATCATCTTCTTGGTATTTTTTGCTTGCCTTTCTTTTGCCGTTAGGTATGTAGAATGGAGTATAAGTGGTCAATTCAGAAATGTTTTTAGAATGTATTATATTTTCTTTTTCTCATTCTATTTATTGTATAATGGAACGCTTAGAGTTTCCTCTGTTATAAATATGAAGATTGAATAAGAGTACTACCCAAGCTGAAATAAACAAATATGTAGGGTTTCAAATGTTGACTCACAGTGTTATCATGAGAGTCAACAATCTTAGAGCTAAAATAGTTTATCGTATGTTATTCACTGCAACCTATCATTTTTAACAAAAAGATGATAAAGTAAGAAAACGTATTTTTTACTTTGACAGCGTTATGTTTGAAAACTGTTGAGTCGTTTAGTTTGCTTCACAATGAAGGGATGAAACGATCCATTTTAGAAAAAACTTCGAGAATCCCCATTTCATCCTTTTGATATCCAAAAAGTCCCCATTTTCTGTGAAGAGCTGTGTCTTGTGTTGCCACAACTATCAACTGCCTATACATATAGCACAACTGTTGATTTCAATTGACGCTGAGAATTGTAGAGGGTTGGTTTGTTTATTTATCTGTGGGTAGTTGTCTGGTCAGTGACTGTGCTTTTTGATGAATGTTATCTGTTTCGATGCACAAGTAGTCTGGTGTTAAAGACCCTTTGAAAGTAGTTGAATATTTTATTTTTGGTTTTCATAATTGTGTTTTGAAATGTCCAAGGTTCGAGCTTCAGATAAGAATGGTGACAACGGTAAGCACCTCTTTGTTCTTTATCACAGACAGCTGTATAACACAATATGACCCATAGTGGATAGTGGAAAGAGTATTCTTCTTAGCCAAGAGACAAGAGACACTGTCTATGCAAATGTTGAAGAAAATATCCAAACTTGTAAACGGGATG